ATGGCATTGAATTTCTCTCATCGTCCTATTTTTCCGGGTGGTATGGCGGAGGATAATTTGGTTTCTCCGATGAGAATGGGGAATGGGTACCGGGTGGAGGGTATTCCTGAGATGAGTAGTGGTGGTGGTAGTGGTGGTGATGGATTTGGTAATGGTTGGCGTGATGTTGATAATTGTTTTGATTATGGAAATGATAGATGTGATAGAGGGGGTGTAAGTGTCACTCAGGAATCTGTTTCGAATGATATTATTGACCGTTTGCCTACAGATCCTTTTGGCATGGGGATTGGTGATACCTTCACAGCCATCACCGGATGGCTGGAGGATTTGGATTTCGAATATGGTGGGTATGGTGGGTGTGGTGGGTATGGTGGGGATGAGATTGGTTCGAGTGGTGAGAATTACCCTTTGTTTGCTGGGTTAAATTTCATTTGGAACAATGCTGTGAGGTTCCACACGTTTCCCCAGTGGGGAAATGTGGGCATTGAGGAGAATAGATTTCAAGGCGTGGGTGGATTCTCTGAGTATTCTCAGAGAGAAGTTGGAGAAGCTTCCTGCAGCTTTAGTGCTGAATCTTCTCGTGACATGGATGGCGTAATGGATTTTGGTTTTGATTATAAAGACGTGGCTGTTGCTAGTGTGTCGGGTGACATGAACATCAATGATGTGAATTGCCATGCAGGCGATGAACACTCTCCTCATCCAGCTATAATCTATTCTCTCCCTTATTTGGGTTTGTCTGATCTTCTCGCTGTTGAGAGAGTATGTAAATATCTGCATTTTACTGTTCGAACAGATACACTTCTGTGGAAAAGTATCCATGTTGACCAGCCTTTAAATGAAAGGATCAATGATGATGTTCTTTTGGAATTAACCAGTAGGGCTCAAGGTAAACTTGAGTGTCTGAGTTTGGTGGAGTGTTCTAGGATAACTGATGATGGTCTAAGGCGTGTTCTTGAAGTCAATCCCAAAATAATCAAGGTGAGCATGTATTAGCCTATTATATATATTTTTTTTGAAGTTCAAATTGGAATTTAGATAAGTTTATGTTCATATAGCATGCATTTGTGGAACTGTATATAATAAATATGATATTGCTGTTGATTTGTATTTATTAAATGGTGGATTGGGGATATAAGTTACTTTAAATTCCATTGGTTTCCAATTTTTTCTAATGAGTTTAAAGTCAGCAGATCCCGTTGTGAACATTTTGTCTTTTGTATGTCATCCCAGTTAGTTGTTTCCTGAGGTTATTTTGTTCTACTAAGGAGCTTGATTTAAGGTTATTCTAGATTTTTCTCTAGGATACTCATTTTTTGATTGATGCACATGCCGATGTAGATGCAGGAAATGCTTGATTCATATATGCTTATTTTTATCCAAATGATTAAAAGATTATACCCTTCACTCCTGCTGTCTATTTGTGTTGCTGTTTGTTTTCCATCATGCATTGGGAGAAAATGTGTTACGTTATCTCATTGTAGCTATGATGCTTAGGTACTGGGTACATGATACAATATGTTTTAAAAAAAACAAGGTACAAGTACTCAAATAAAAATTGAGAATTTATTTTTATAATATAATGGAACATGAAAGAATTAAGGTGTTCAATTCACTGTAAAACATCACAATAACAGTTTAAAATGTCAAAAATTGTGTTAAGCTACAACGACAAATGAACTAAAATACGGAAATAATATTGTATCAATCAATATATGCGAAATCATGAGTTGCTTAGTATGATCTGGAAATCCTATGTCTCAATCCCCCTCTTGCGTGCTGCAATCCAGGTGGTGTTGGAGGTGGAAAACTCGGCCGAGCTCCACAGCCAGCTCGTTCAGAGTTACGACGATGGCTGCGGTAGTTTTTTAAAAAATCCTAATTTTTCAGTTGGGCTTGGTCTGGGTCTGGTTTTAAACCAAAACCCATGTTTGATTATTTAATAAATAAGAACACAATCCGCCTTAAGTATCTTTGCAGCGGTTGAAAAAAAGAGTATCATCTTTCCCTCAATAGAAAAAGAGTATTGAGCTTTTCTGATGAAACCAAATGGTCTTCCTATGTGATGAGTATTCCTCAGCCTTCTACTACTTTAATAAGGTATTCCTCATCCTTCTTTGATTAAGTACACCTCTTCCTCATTCTATTGTCGCCACACCGCTTCCTTCTTCATTCAAACGAGATGTTGCCGACTCTCTGCACCGCTTCCTCCTTCATTCAAATGAGACATCGCCCACTCTCCGCCTGCTTCCTCCCTCATTCAAACAAGATGTCACCTACTCTCTGCACCGTTTCATCCTTTGTTCGAACGAGGCGTTACCGCACCGCTTACCGCATCAGGTTTTATGAGTGGATGACATCTTGAAAGTCTAGTATTGTTGTTTTTAGATTGTTTTCATCTTGAACTCAGTTTTTATTTTTATGTTTTGGTTATGAATTTATGGTTGTGAGCTGATAAATTCTATAAATTTATGTTTATAAATTTATGTTTATGAACTTAGTTTAATGTAATGATTTAGAAGTTACTTTCTTCATATATGATGATTTTTGGGCATGTTTGTGTAATTATACATGTATAAACATATTTTCTACTAGTTGTGTAGGATCTTATGATTCATGCTACGATCCTCAAGTTACGAATTTTCAATCCTTTATTGATTTTGTGTAGACTCTTGAGTTTTAAAACATTGGTATTAATATATGAGGAAACTACAATTTTGACTTAAACATAAAAATAAAGAAAATGCAGTACCACCGGTACGGGTACTGTTATAAGATACGTACCATGTCTGGTACTGTTATAAGATACGTACCATGTCTGGTACTGTTATAAGATACGTACCATGTCCGGTACTTTACCATTTTAGTATACATGTTTCAGTGCATTGTAGTAACATTTGTAGGTATTAACTAACCCCCAATTTGAAGGGAAGGTATGCACAAAACTATACTATAGATTTAACCGGGGCACATTATTAATTGTTCCAACTATCGACTTTGATCCAGTCATGCTTCCTTTACTATTAAGATGCATGGGTTAAATTAGTACTTTGCATTTTGATAGATCTTGGCACTTTGAAGTAAGTTTTACTAATATTATTGGTAGTTTCATATATAATGTGATTTAGTGTTGGCATGCTAAGCTTGGTAATCCCGGACTTTGTCTGCTGTTATAGTATTAACTGCTTTGAGCTTTGACTACTATTTGATCTCATCTTAAGTCCAGAGTTATTATTGTCTTCATACTCTTTACAAATAACCATGTGTATTTTTTCCTCTGGTGAATCTATGCAGTTGAGTGTTCCGGGATGTACAAGACTAAGTATTGAAGGTATTGTGGGTATGTTAAAAGCTTACAAAAACTCTCTGGGTGCACAAGGGGTGAAGCATTTACACATAGGCGGCCTTTATGGTGTTACACCAAAGCATTTTGAAGAAATAAAGCTGTTATTGAGCACTGACAGTCAACAGCAGGAGCAATCTCATACTGACTGTCAACTGCAGGGGCATTCCCCCGCTGACAGTCAACTGAAGAAGCTTTCCAATAAACCGCATTTCTATTGCCGTTGGAATTTGTATCTGCCCTGCGATGATAATCGGTCCATAGACATTGAACTTTGTCCTCGATGTGAGAATTTGAGGCTTGTATATGATTGTCCAGCAGAAGGCTGTCAGGGGGTGGTGGGGCATGCCTCTCAGGTGTGCCGGGCTTGCACACTTTGCATTCCTCGATGTAGTCAGTGTGGCCGGTGCATCAATGATGGCGAGTATGAAGAAACATTTTGTCTGGAATTGCTTTGCTCTCATTGTTCTCATCATTTGTCCAAATTGCTAGGAAAGACTGATGGAAAGGTTGGGCTAATCAGGCCAAGTTCTCCCTAAACAAAGTTAGGTTATAATACTGAATAACTCTTAATGTGGAATAAAGCTCCCTTTTGAAGTCATACAAAATGCTGGGTGCTGCTGGACATGCTTGGCATTATTTGTATTTGGAGGGAATTTTCCTGTTGTAGGGAAAGTGAAATTTGGTATCGTTTTTGTGTCTCTGCTGTTGCTTGGATAACCTGCAGGAATCAAATCAATTAATATGATAACGGATCACCTACTACATAGTTGCAAAGGGTTTTTTATGAGGTGGTCCTCTGAGAATGGGGCTGCAGTTGGAGCGATATGCTTTGCAATGCGCACCCTTTCATTGGGCAACTTTCAGATGATATTTGTGATTTAGTTCTATTGCTTTTCCAGTTTGAACTGTCTGATTTCTGGACTATTTTTTCTTCAATAACTCCCTGATACTTTGGAGCCCGGATTCACTCTATTTTCTACCTATCATTTGCTGTCCACCTATAAGACAGATAAACATAATTGATAGATTAGTGAGACTCATGAGCGGGGTTCAATTGTTAAAATGAGTCATATTAATCTATTACTTTCGTTATCTCTTTTATAAATGGATAGAAAATGGAAAATAGATAAATGGGATGAATCTGGATTTGATAATTCACTGTTTTCAACTTGGGGTCTATGTACCCTTTTTACTATTTTTCCCATTTTGGATAAGACAAAAAAATAAGTGGATGATTTTGTGATGTATTTGGATCTTAGCGAATTTTATTTTAGCTTGTATCAAGTGGAACTCATTTGACTGAGGCGCATTAAATAAATATCTTGGGATTATTGTAGCAAAATATTTTTTGTATACTTATTTCCCTCTTGCAATTTGAAATAGATGACGTCTCTTGCAAAGAAAAGTCGTTAAACGATTTGACATTAATTATATAAATGTCTAACATTGTGGGAGGAATTAAGTGTTGGTCATCTTTATTTTAATTGGATGACGGCACTTTTGTTCCCGAACATAGATGTTACTGACCTCGCAAGAAAGTTATTCTTAGCTGTTTGTTAAATTTAGGAACATTTGACTATGCTTCAAGTGTGGGAAAACTTGTTGGGAGCTATTGAAAAACTAGTTGGTTTCTGTTGCCTGAAGAAATGGACAACATATGGCATAACTTAGATGAAATGGTATAGTCAAAGTAATCCAAAACCCATAGATTACGTTTTCATTGCCTTGACTTGTTTGGCTGTATACAAGAATATACTTGACACCAACGAAATGTCATAGGACCCAACGACCCGAAGGAAAGGATAAAAGAAATCATTTACTATTCAAATAAAACATAGAATGCGTGAGCTGCATTCTGCTGTGCTTGTGTTTGTGTTCACTAGATTCTGCATTTCGTAATATAGTCTAGCTAATAGTCTAGCTAAAACAAGTTTACGAATTTTTTCTTTGTTTTATAGCTAAAATTTAAAACGAGTCTTAGTCATACTCATAGAATATAATGCACAGAGAAAAAAAAAATGAAACAAGGACTTATTAGGCTGTTTGGTGGTTGAGAGAAACTTCAATCTTCAACCCCTACGAAATATTAACTATACTAGCATGTTCGATTAAAAACACTTTAATTTATGAATTGTTCATATTTCTTTTTTAAGTTGAAACAAATTAAACTATTACGGGTAGTAAATATTTGTGAGTAAGTGGTATATCATAAATTAGTATGGATATTAAGAAATTAACAAATAGAAAGTAAAAATAAAAGATCATTTAAATAAGCTCATTTATATTAATTTTTTATTCATCAATCAGTTGACTAACTAATTATCCTAATTAATTTCCATTCAATAGACTGAATTTTCGGCTAAACGCTCAACTAACTTCTCAATTATTTTTTGGTTGATAATGCTCACTACTTTTGGCAAACATTAAAGTTTTTTTTAATTGATAATGCTCTCTACTTGAAGAAGAATGTGCTGTTTGTTTTGGTTCGATTGTCTTTTAAAAATAAAATCGAACCAAATAAAACTAAATCAATGCAGTTTGAGTTAACTTAATTAGTTCGATTTCTAACAAGATTTTTATTAGATCATACATATATCTATAGAATACAACATAATTTTGTGTTTAGTCATTCATATATCATCAAATAACAATAAAATTACTCATAGTTGGACAAAAACTTTCCATTCAATATATAAAAATCAGATTAAACAAAATTTGAATAAAAAATATAAAATAGTAGCATAAAAATATAAAAATATTATAATAAAACATAAAAAACAGAGGAGATGAGAGATTATAAAAGATGAAAAAGAAAGAACAGAAAAGATGCGAGATTAGAGAAAAATGTGCGATCAAAACGTAATTGAAAAAAAAGAACAATAGCATAAAAATGAGAAGATTAAAAAGAAAGTATATAAAAGAGGAGAGATAAGAGTAAAAGATGCGATGTGTACATAGCAAAGAAGATGAGAAAAATCTGTGATATTACTAAGAAAAATTTGAGAAAGTTGAAACTGAAATTCTAAATATGAGTAAGAAAAAATTGTTCGTAATCATAAGGTTAAGAAATAATAGTTTTAAGTTTTTGTTTAGATGTGTGATAAATGAAATTTGAGTTGTAAAATAATGCAGTTTGGTTTGGTTTGATTTGCAAAATACAAACCGCAAACTAAACTAAACCGCACAGTTTTGCTAAAAGAATGTCTCAAACACACCCGAATCAAATGCGATATTTTGTTATAGTTTTCAATTGAGTTGGTTCCGTTTTAAACACCCATAAATCTAGTGTTAGAAGAAAGGAGGAAATTAGGTCATTGAAGTATCTAACAATCACTAATATCATATTCAAATAGACAACAATAGTAAATTTCATATTCTTTATTTTAAGTTATGATTCACAATGACGTATTTTTGAGTTTATAGTTTATAAATTCATATGATAATAAAAGATATATATGATAACGGTCTTTTCATAAAAAATTATAACTTATTTTATTAATTTATATTTAATTTTTAGACGTTATTTTAAATAATATTTTAATTTATAATCTATAGCTTATATTTTTTCTCCATATTTTATTTTTATTATTTTAATTAAAATCTACTTTTACTCTTTAATGCTTTATTTTAATTTATTATAAAATAATTATGGATTAAATGGAAAAAATACTAAAGATTAAATTGACGATTGTATGTGTACACTTTGGTATAAAACATTAATTCTTTTATAAAATATAAAATTGAAATAGAAATATATTCAAAATAAAATTTTAGCATATAAAAGTTAATTTAATAATAATATATAAAAGATATTTATATTAGTAAGATTAAATTACTAAACTTTAAATATTCTAAATATAAATTTTATTATTAATTAAAAAATATATTTTTATATAAATTTATCTTTATCATCAATTAATTGAACAACTAATTTTTTATAAATAAAGGCCAATATATTAAATCAAAAGTGAGGCAAAAGATACAAAAAGGAGAACTAAGTTAACCTCATCAAAAAGATGAAAACTTAAAGAATGACATATCTAACCTATTTTTTACAAATTTATTCCTTATATTTGCAAATAGTCAGCACACGAGTTCTCATCTCTATAAATGTGAGTTAAAATAATGTTGGTTTTGTTAAAAGTGTCCAAACAAAATATCCATCTATTCCTTGATCTCCAAGGGATCAAAAAATGGTTCGTAGAAACTTTGATGATCATCATGCAATCGATTTTAATCCAAATCTTATGTCAACCACGTTGATTCACAATTTTCATGCCCTTCAGAACAACTTAGAGCTCCGAAAAAAAAAAGAAGATCTAGACATAACATTCTCTGCAAAGGCTAGAACAAAATCACATTCGTAGTTTCTGAAAATTCGCCCACAACCCGAGTATTTAAAAAACGGCCAGTTACCGCAAAAACAAACGCGACAAAATGATATCGGAAGGTGTCGATACCGATACCTTTATTCACACAACGACGGTAATAAAAGGTTTATGATAAAGAAAAAATTGTGATTAATTCACACAACGACGTTAGCTATCACCGATACATCATTTGTACCGACCAAAATTGCAAAAATCTTTACGTGACTGCAAGATGACCACGACCATTATTTAATTCCTTAGTTATTATATTTCATAAAATTAGTATTGTACATTCTTTTCTCTCATTCTACTTTTATATTGAGCCAGAAGAAACCTTTTAAAAAAACTTATGTCAAAGAAATTTAACAACATAAAACTAAAATATTGCTTATACTAGAGCAGTTAAACCTAACAAAAACAAGAAAATAAAATTTCACAAAGACTTTAGTTTTACAATAAAAACATAATTGAAATATTTTTACAATAGTATGATAATGTGCATTAGTGATAATCCTACTTTTATTACCATAGGGTCAAATTGATTTATTCAGTTAAAATAATAAAATGTAAACTAACCAAAATTTTGGAACTCTAACATAGAGATTATAAAATAATAGGCGAGATTAAGTCCTTGTCGTTAAAAAGGCATAAATATATTTTGGTGGGGATATATTATTTAACAAAGTGGATAAAAGCTATCCCTTTGCCTAATATCGACCCAGAAGAAGTAATTAATTTCTTCCAAAATCATATTATATATAGATTTGGAATACTTGAGACTATTACCACTGACCAAGACTTGGTATTTACAAGTCAAAAGATGGTAGAATTCACCTTAGAAGTAGGGTTTAAGTTGTTAACTTCAACACCGTATTATGCTCAAGCTAATGGCCAGGTCGAAGCGGCCAACAAAATTCTAATTGGTTTAATTAAGAAGCACGTAGGTTAAAAGCCAAAAAAATAGGCATAAAACTTTAAATCAAATGCTTTGGGCATGAAGAAACTCTCCTACGGATTCAACTAATTCCACACCATTTTGACTCACTGTCATATCCTAATTTTTACTCCCAAAATCCCACCTCATTTGCATCTTTACAATGCATCAATATCATAAACTTGGATGTCCCTTAACACTCTCGCCTTTGGGTTTGCCTTTACAGAGATCA